CAGTGCTTCTGTGTTTATTCCTCCAGAACCTTTTCTGTGTATTTACTGAATTCATATGCACTTATTAAAATGGCACACATTTCAAGCTTTATCCAAGAACATATCTGTTTTAGTATTTAAGTATTTGAAACCCTCATTTGCAATAAAAATGTTATAAGCAATAAGCTTCCAACCTTATTAATAGGGATTTTTTTTTTAGTGGTTATGATTCTTAAAAGGTTATTTTTTTCTTTCATTTTTCTTTTTTTCAATACATGGCAGGGTCAGTGCCTGCAGACCCACTTTGTTTATGTTGAAGGTGGAGAGCTCAGGTTTCTCCCCTGCCCTAGGGAACACTCTGTCCCTCATGCTGAATTCCAGGTGTATAATCTCCCAGTTTAAGGATACCCCTGACTTTTCTACTGGATTGGTTTACCAGGCAACCTCTCAGTTAAGATAACTTTATTTAAATAATTTTCTTATCCTTTCCCCCTGCTTATATCACAGATTTTGATTTGCTGAGAAATCAAGTAGGTGTCAAAGTCTTTGAAAAGTTTTTGTTTTATACCTTATGTTCAAAGATGATACATTCTCATTTGAGGAAAATTGAAGCAATCAGAATGGTTACAAAGCAGAATATGTAATCCCCTCAAATTTAATTATTTCTTTCCACATATCTCCACATATGCAAACACAATTTTACATAAATTGGGTCATAGTATGCATATTGTGTTGCTTGGATTTCTTAAATTAATATGTCCTTATGGTTTACTGTGTTAGTGAATATGGATCTATATTAACTACATTATCCATTTTATTGGTTCATATGAAATTTAAAAAATAACCTGGCATTTGCTCTTCATATTGTAGAGAATAGCACAGAGAAGCAAACACAAAAGTAGAGTACATTCTTCCTTCCCTGACATCCCAAATTGAACAGTTTGTAAAGTTAAGAAACACACATCTATGAAATTAGAAAATTCTTGTTTTAAAACTTTTTAAAATTTATTTATTTATTTATTTATTTTAGAAGTATTTATTTTATTTATTTGTTTTTATGTGATGCTAAGGATTGAACCCAGGGCCTCACACATGTTAAATGAGCGTTCTACTGCTGAGCCACAATCCCAGCCCAAAATTAGAAAATTCTTGCTTTAAAAAGTTACAAAATGAAAAGTGAAAGTTGAATGCCACTCTCCCTTTTCTAATTTTTCTCCTTATGATTAAATAACTTTATTAGTTTTTTGTGAGTCCTTCAAAATGTATAAAATTAATGCATATTCTTATTTCTTTCTACTTTTGTTTGTTTTTGATAAAATGGAAAGATCACACTCTATGCAAGCATTTACTTATTTTTTTCACTTGATGTATCTTTGGGATTATTTCCTAACTGCAATGCAAAACAGCCTTTGCACATTTATCTTATTTTTAATTTATTTTAACGGTTACATAAGAACATAAAAGTTGTACATATTAATGGGGTACCATGTAATATTTTAATACATGTATATGTTATATAATGTTTAGATCAGGTTCTTTCTCTTTTTAATGGCTGCATTAAAAAAGCCATTGGTTAGTGTATGCCACAATTTATTTAACCAGTTCACTATGATAAATATTTTGGTTGTTTCTAGGATTTTGCTTATTTATTTCTATAATGTTAGGAGAACATTTTTTACTTAAACAAGTCTTGCCAGTATATCTGTAAGGTCCTTGCTGGATGACCATCTTAAGTGACAGCCACCATTTTAAGAAAAAGTATTGCTTTCCCACCCAAGGGCCTTTCTGAGAAAGGCTCACCTCTCCCTTATACCAACCCAACCTTTCGTTGTTAGGACCCACCTGGCTCTAATCTCTGAGCCTGCCCCATAAAAGTCCCTAAACCCAAGCCTGTTTTGCCTCTTTCCATCTATGGATAGATGTGCCTTTATTTGTCAGCTCTGACAAATAAACTCTCGTGTGTGTGTGTGTGTGTGTGTGTGTGTGTGTGTATCTCTGCCTGGTGTCTTTCATTTCTCGCTCGCCCCTGTCCTGGTTACTCGCTTTACTTTCAATATCCATAGAGAAATTTTATATACTGAGTTCTGGATTAAAGGATTCTTGTGTCAGGCTCACTCCAGACACAAGGGTTTTACATGTGGATAGAAATTACCAGAAAGTTTGCACCAAATAACATTCTAAGAAAAGTGTTTGAGAGTGCCTGTTTTCCGATTCTCAAGCACCGATTATCAAACTTTTTAGTTGTTGCCAATCAAATAATTTAGGACTTGTATCTTGGTTTGATTTTTATTTATTATGACTAAAATTGAGATGTTTTTAAAATGTCCATTGGCCATTGTAGTTTTTTCTTAAAATTGCGCATAAACATTGACTGTCTCCCCCCCACCCCCACCCCCAGGGCGGTTTGCCATTTTTTAGTAGTTATCAGTGGAATGTAAATGAATAGCTAACATTTATTCAGTAATTGATTCAACAAATCACCAAATAAAAAACACTTGGGATATTTACAATATTATTGTGCAGCTTTAAGCAATCAGGTACATATCTTTGTATTCTGGAGGACCAAATACTTATTCGAGTTAGATTTCTGATAGTACAATTGCTGATTTGAAGTAGAATTCTTTATCCAATGTTCAAAATAGCATTGTATGATGAGGGAAGTAAGAGAAAGAGAAACTAAAGTGGGGGACTACAAGGGCAAAAACAAGAGGAGCTAAATTGTTGCTTTTTTTGAGAGAGAGAGAGTTTTTTAATATTTATTTTTTAGTTTTCTTCAGACACAACATCTTTGTTTGTATGTGGTGCCGGGGATTGAACCTGGGCCACACGCATGCCAGGCCAGCGCGCTACCTTTTGAGCCACATCCCCAGCCCCTAAATTGTTGCTCTTAATGCAGATCAGTTCTAAAATAGAGTTGAACAAGCAGGCTAACAGTATGATCTTATCGTCCTCACTGCTTTCATCAATAAGCTTCTGAAAAATCCTGAATTTCCTTCTCTATTGACTGTCTGGACCTTGGGGGGAGTCTACAAATTTGGGTGTTAAGGAGGGAGTGGGGCTTAGTTCTGGCTCAGTGGTAGAGCGCTTGCCTAGCATGAGTGAGGCACTGGGTTCAACCCCCGGCACCACATTGAAATAAACAAATAAAATAAAGGTATTGTGTTCATCTACAATTAAGAATATATATTAAAAAAAGAGGGGGGGAGGGAGAGAGAGAGAGAGATTGATTGACTTAGTAATTTTCAAGTGAATAGTTGCATTAGAATAATTATGAGCACATGAATTATGAATCATTTTATGGCCATACAATTTCAATGTTGGCTTTAAATTTCTGTTTCCACGTCTGAGTTTGTGCATAATATTTGGCACTTTGGTAGCTTATTAATTTAAATTGAATGGAGAGAGTGGGAGAATTGAGTCAGTTTACTTACATTGTTCATGGACAAGCAGAGCTAAAAAGAACCTGCGCACAAAGCAGACTGTAGGAAGTGATTTGGGGGAGGATGAATTACACAAATCCTGTCTTTGTACATTAAAACTTGTTCATTAGCAATGTAGTAGAAAATCTGGAGTGAAATAGTTTTACATTGCTGATTTCACTAATCATTAAATTGGGACACTGATTCAGGTCAAATTGCAATAATGATTACAATGCCAACCTTCATCTTACAGGATTTATTGAGGGTGACACAGCATTAAACCAGGCATTCCAAGATTGCTTAGGGGTGGCTTTGATGAAGTGTGAAGTCTGCCTTGAGCTAGCAGAGAATTGAAGTTATTAACACCATTTTGTAAACATAATTATCTTAACATTTTCTGCATTCATGTTACTGACAGGCAAAATGAAGTAGACAAAATTTGATTTGTTCTCATTTGGTTTGCATTTATTTGACTCATAATGAGAGTATATATAAAATGTTAATCTATTTTTCTTTTTTCCAATGTTACTTTTTTGTGAAAGCAGATACCCAAGACAAAAAACTACTCCTCACATTAAGTTGTCCATTGTCTTTGTTACCACTGAGTTCTGGATTAAAGGATATATGTTTTATATCTGGATAGAAATTACCAGAAATTATGCAATAATTTTGTAATATTGCATATATTCCAATATTATTGCATAATGTAACATTATGGTTAGAGATTTGATTTATACATTTCACTTAACATATACTATATTTTGCTACTGTTTTTATTTTTATTTCTCTTTATGTTTTGCCTTATATACTCTGCTTTGACCAACCTATGTAAGGCGTGTCATTTGCCCTGTTATGTAAATCCACATACCTTCTCCATAATCATATAAACATTAACAGAGATATGTAGACCCATGATCATATACATGTTAAAAAATATACAAAAACTATATAAAAGGTTGTGAATTTGTCATTCTCTGTTACAGAAGTGAAATGATAAATTATTCATATTTCTTCTAGGCCTTTTTTCTCCTTTAATCTATTATGGAGCCACCAGAACAATCATTACAGATCTAGCTTGACTTTTTTTTTTTAATATTTTTTTAGTTGTAGTTGGACACAATATCTTTATTTTATTTATTTATTTTTATGTAGTGCTGAGGATTGAACCCAGTGCCTTGCACGTGTTAGGTGAGCGCTCTACCGCTGAGCCCCAGCCCCAGCCCCTTGACTTTTTAATAGTGATGCAGTTCTGTTGATCATTGATGTCCACATTAATTTGCCATCCCCCCACTGTGGTTTTCAAGTTTTTTTGATGTTACAAACAATGATATAATAAATAATCTCATAGATATGTCTTTAGATTGTTAAGACTAGTATCATTAGGTCAAAGGATATGTGTGGTTTTTGTTTTTGATGTATAAAGTGATATTACTCACTTTAAAAAGCAATGGGCCACATCATCCAGTATCAAGGTGCAGACCTTATTTGGATCTTAATTCAGAAACTATAGAGATAAGAAGTCTGACATTTATAAGACATTTGGAAATTTGAACTCTGATGAGGTATTTCATTAAATTAAGGAATTTTTATGATTGTTTTTAGGTATGATAATGGTATCTCTACCAAAATTTTTACAGATGAACCAATTTGTTTCAGAAAATTACTGGAGAGAGAGAGAAGTCAATGGAAGCAAGGATGAAGTAAAAAGTGGACATGAATTGTGAGTTGCTGAAATTGGTTTATCAGGAGTCCATTATACCATTGTCTTCTCTCTTTCTCTCTCTCTCTCTCTCTTTGGTACCAGGATTGAACCCAGTGGCGCTTTACCAATGAGCCACATCCTAGCCCTTTTTAAATATTTTATTTAGGGACAGGATCTCATGGAGTTGCTTTGCTGAGAGCCATAGCCAAGTCCGAATGACTCATGGCATTTTTGCCAGAACGGAGTGGTTGAGAGGTGACGCCAGCAAGCCATTGAGATGATAATGGTTATGTTAAGCTGTGTATATTAGACCCCTGCTGTCTGCCTCAGCCTGCTACTTTGTAGTTTGTCATTTTTTCAAAAAGTTAGACATTAAATCATCATATGATCCCCCAATTTTACTCCCTGACATCTGCCCCAGATAACTGAAGCAGAGACTTGGTCAGATAATGGTTTGCTGATCTTCACAGCAGCAATTCTTATAATAAACAAAAGGTAGAAATTACTCAAATGTCTATCAGCAGATGGATTTTATCTTAAATGAGGTATATACTCATACAATAGATATTCCATCATGAAAAAGAGTGAAATACCGATATGTGTCACAATGTGGATGAACCTTGAAAACATTGTGATAAGTGAAATAAGCCAAACACAAAAGGACAGATATTGAATGATTCCACTTATATGAGATCCTTGGAACAGGCAAATTCATAGAGACAAAAATAGAATAGAGGTGCCTAGGAGTTCTAGGAGGGGAGAATGGAGAATTGTCTAATGCAAGCAGAGTTTTTGTTTGAGATGATAGAACATTATGGAAATGAATAGTGGTGATAGTTATACAACACTGTCTATGTACTAGTGTCACTAAATTGTATACTTAAAAATAGATATAATGGAAAATTTCTTATGCATATTTTACCACAATAAAAATGATATGTGAATATTTTCCTTTCATAAAAAATTAAACACATTATAGACAAAGGTAAAGGTCCCTTTGTCCATCTCCCCAATCCTAATGGCCAGTTCTTCCTCTTCAGTGCTTCTGTGTTTATTCCTCCAGAACCTTTTCTGTGTATTTACTGAATTCATATGCACTTATTAAAATGGCACACATTTCAAGCTTTATCCAAGAACATATCTGTTTTAGTATTTAAGTATTTGAAACCCTCATTTGCAATAAAAATGTTATAAGCAATAAGCTTCCAACCTTATTAATAGGGATTTTTTTTTAGTGGTTATGATTCTTAAAAGGTTATTTTTTTCTTTCATTTTTCTTTTTTTCAATACATGGCAGGGTCAGTGCCTGCAGACCCACTTTGTTTATGTTGAAGGTGGAGAGCTCAGGTTTCTCCCCTGCCCTAGGGAACACTCTGTCCCTCATGCTGAATTCCAGGTGTATAATCTCCCAGTTTAAGGATACCCCTGACTTTTCTACTGGATTGGTTTACCAGGCAACCTCTCAGTTAAGATAACTTTATTTAAATAATTTTCTTATCCTTTCCCCCTGCTTATATCACAGATTTTGATTTGCTGAGAAATCAAGTAGGTGTCAAAGTCTTTGAAAAGTTTTTGTTTTATACCTTATGTTCAAAGATGATACATTCTCATTTGAGGAAAATTGAAGCAATCAGAATGGTTACAAAGCAGAATATGTAATCCCCTCAAATTTAATTATTTCTTTCCACATATCTCCACATATGCAAACACAATTTTACATAAATTGGGTCATAGTATGCATATTGTGTTGCTTGGATTTCTTAAATTAATATGTCCTTATGGTTTACTGTGTTAGTGAATATGGATCTATATTAACTACATTATCCATTTTATTGGTTCATATGAAATTTAAAAAATAACCTGGCATTTGCTCTTCATATTGTAGAGAATAGCACAGAGAAGCAAACACAAAAGTAGAGTACATTCTTCCTTCCCTGACATCCCAAATTGAACAGTTTGTAAAGTTAAGAAACACACATCTATGAAATTAGAAAATTCTTGTTTTAAAACTTTTTAAAATTTTTTAGAAGTATTTTATTTATTTATCTATTTATTTTTTTAGAAGTATTTATTTTATTTATTTGTTTTTATGTGATGCTAAGGATTGAACCCAGGGCCTCACACATGTTAAATGAGCGTTCTACTGCTGAGCCACAATCCCAGCCCAAAATTAGAAAATTCTTGCTTTAAAAAGTTACAAAATGAAAAGTGAAAGTTGAATGCCACTCTCCTTTTTCTAATTTTTCTCCTTATGATTAAATAACTTTATTAGTTTTTTGTGAGTCCTTCAAAATGTATAAAATTAATGCATATTCTTATTTCTTTCTACTTTTGTTTGTTTTTGACAAAAAGGAAAGATCACACTCTATGCAAGCATTTACTTATTTTTTCACTTGATGTATCTTTGGGATTATTTCCTAACTGCAATGCAAAACAGCCTTTGCACATTTATCTTATTTTTAATTTATTTTAACGGTTACATAAGAACATAAAAGTTGTACATATTAATGGGGTACCATGTAATATTTTAATACATGTATATGTTATATAATGTTTAGATCAGGTTCTTTCTCTTTTTAATGGCTGCATTAAAAAAGCCATTGGTTAGTGTATGCCACAATTTATTTAACCAGTTCACTATGATAAATATTTTGGTTGTTTCTAGGATTTTGCTTATTTATTTCTATAATGTTAGGAGAACATTTTTTACTTAAACAAGTCTTGCCAGTATATCTGTAAGGTCCTTGCTGGATGACCATCTTAAGTGACAGCCACCATTTTAAGAAACAGTATTGCTTTCCCACCCAAGGGCCTTTCTGAGAAAGGCTCACCACTCCCTTATACCAACTCAACCTTTCATTGTTAGGACCCACCTGGCTCTAATCTCTGAGCCTGCTCCAATAAAGTCCCTAACCCCAAGCTACTTTGGAGTTCTCGCAAGGATTCCTGGAGAGTTTCCATTGGTTGGGGAAGTGCCGGAGGCGGGATTTCTGGTTGGTATGTGGTTCCTGGAGGAGCCGCGTGGCGTTCGGGAGATTTCCCGGGGAGCGTGTGTGGAGTGTGCTGGTGGAGTTTAGAAATAAAGTTTGTTCCTGCTTCAGTGGCTCATGATTTGTGCCCAGCCAGACTGCAGCATTGCTCAGTACCTGGCTTTTGCTAAGGCAGGCTTTGAACTCACGATCTTTCTGCCTCAGCCTCCCAAGCTGCAATACACCTGGCCATTGTCTTCTTTTGTAAATATTTGAAATTCTTCAGAATAAAAAAGAATTGTTTTGAGCTATTATGCCTGACTCCAAAAAATAATGTTTAAAAACTGTTTGATGACCACCATGTAAGGCATGTGTTCACTTATATCTTTAGTGTATGAGAAAACTCATTTCCCTATATTTCCTCTAGTGCTGGGTGTTAGTGCTGTTTAATTTTTGTCAATATCATGTTTGCAAAAAGGCATTTGTTGCTATAATTTGCATTTACTTTACCACCAGTGAAGCTGACTATCTTGAGATGAGGTCAAGCTTCCTTTTTTGGCAGGTGGCTGCCAGGCCACAGTGTTTCTAAATGTTACCACCTAGGGGTGCTGGGGTCCTTGTCTCCCTTCAGCAAAGAATTGAAGAATAAAACACATAGGTAGCAAGCAAGCAGCAGGTTTATTGCAAAAGCGTCAGAAACAGTCTTCTTCAAAGGGAAGGAGACCCAGAGCTGGGAATCTGGTGGGGAAATTTTGACTTGTTCTTTTTAAGGTCTCTGGACTTTATTCCTTATCCCCCTTCTGTCCATGCTTTCCTCACTATTATGGATTGGGGCCCCAGTGTCCAGGCATCTGTTCTAATTTTTCTATTGTATCCCCCACTTAGGAGTGCAAATATGGAAATGTCTGTCTGATTGGATCCCCTCCTGTGTCCACAAGCATATTCTTTAAGCAGGAAGTTGACCTCCTTAGAAGACCCTCTCCATGCTTCTTTGTTCTGGCCCTGTCCCCAACTTCCTCAATCACCGTCTTGCCCTGGCTGCCTACACCCTTCTACATCTCCCTCATAAATGAACATAAAGAATAGTTTCTAGAATATAAAGATGTAGAAAGGCCACTCGGTGACCATGTTTGGAATGACGTAGAGACAAAACCACTTGGCAACTACATGAACAATAAAACATCTTCCACTTCTGACTGAACCAAGTGACTGAGTTGGTAAAAGCAATGACAATTTTAGGCTTTCTTTAATCCCCTGACCTCTTAGATTGAAATTACTAAAATATCCAGCCACTGAATTAGCCCACTTTATTGACAACTTTCCATCCCAACTAATCCCTAGTTCTTTAACTTTTCTTGGAATAATCCAGCACACAAGCCAAATCCTGTGAGCAGCCGCTTCCAGTGTCCTCTTGCTCAGCCTCTGGAGTACTTAATAATTACTTGGAAGCAGATTGTCTTTAAATGCAAGCATATATTCAATCACACCAATCATCAAACACAAACAATTAATGCAAAAAGTGTTGGTTATGCTGGAGCACCCCAATTAATGTATACCAATTAAATACAACAAGCAGCAAATCACACAATCCTAGGGAAACCACAAGCCCTAAAGTACCTCTGATGCCATGCGACTTCTCTTAGCCGAAGAGCTGAAGTTGTCATTTTCTGGTGGTTCTCTCCAGCGGAAGGTAGAATGTCAAGGAATGGTGGGTTGGTCTGGGGACTGACAGCAAGGTGGCCAGTCTTATTGATGTCCTCAGAGCAAAGCTCTTTGATGTCACAGGACAAGCAGTTTACATACAGTTCCAAGTTGTGCTCATTATTATCACACTCCAGTGTTGTTCTGTCTCTAGATGATGGTCCTTATCAATTGTGTCCAGTCATGACTAAGCATGTCTGTGGCTGCTGTTCCTTAGAGCCAGCAACTTAGTGAGTGCAGCATGCCCCAGCATGTCTATGGCAGATGCTCCCTACAAGAGGTAAATCAACTATATTTTACTATAGATATTGTTTCTGGTGGCCTTCAATTGGTGGTTTTGAAATGATGTATTTTGAAAGTTTATTTTTCATTTGATTTTCCTCTTTTGGGGAACACTTTTTCATTTTTAATGGGTAGATCTGTAAATTTCCCTTTTGTTTATGAGTCAATTTCATTTTTTACCTTCCACATTCTTCTCTAGGAGCCATAAGTATTACTTCTTAGTCAGAAGAGATTAAAAAATAAGAGTTCCCATTTAGGTTAGATCACTCCAAGTTTGATGACATTAGCAAGAATTTTCAGGTTTTTGTTAATTCACCAATAAGGCTGCAGGTGATGAGGTTGGGGGTAGTTTCTGAGCTAAATTGGATCTATTTGGTAGAGACTCTTCTGGATCTTTCTTTTTTCTTTTTCTTTTATTTTTTATTCTAATTTGTTATATATGACTTCTGCTTCTTTCTTGACCACCAAATCTAGTTTACTGAGGTTGAGAAGGGTGTGTGTGTGTGTGTGTGTGTGTGTGTGTGTGTTTACCATATATTGTTCATTAGATAGTGAAGGAGAAAAGTTTTTCTAATGCAATTTTATTTCATCATCCTGTAAATCTGATATTTCTATAATAATTCTGCTGTGAGATATATAAAAATTCAATAATTCTTTGTTAATAGTTATTTTATTGATATAAAATATTACTATTTATCCTTTTTGTGCTTTTCATCTTATTTTACTGTTACATTAATATTGTAACACATACAACATATCCTTTGTTTGGTGTACTGGGAAAATATTTTGATGTTTTAAGTCCTTGTGTTTTTATCCAATATGTGGCTCTGACTTCATTCAGAACTAGATTGAATCATCCCTCTCCTTAAGGGAGATGGCATAATAGAATCAGAATACAAAAGAGGCAAATTCTTGGCTTATGAATTTTAAAACTGGGCCCAAGTGTAAGACAGTCTGAGTCAGTTTCTTCTCCCTCACTTGGGGGAAGAGAAGAATCAGGTCATGTTGTTTGTCCATTTTCTTAAATGTTACTCCCCTCTCTTGTAGAGTATAGGGTTTATCACTTTTGGTGTTAAGAGTTTTGCTCAAATATTTTGTTCTTTTTTTGGGGGCATTCATCTTAATTTTTGAAGTTCCATGTCAGTGCACATGTGAATGCTGGCTCTCGTTATCACACCTTATTGCCAGTAATTTCAGGAAGAGTTTGGACTTGCTGCTAATTGAGGTATGTTAGTGTCCAGTCTTCTGGAACCAGGGACCAACACATTGCGGAGAACACCACATTGCGGAGTCTCTTGGGGCTCAGGTACTTATATTCTCTCTCATCTACCTAGAGGTAGATGCCTCTGCTGCCAGTGGCTTGGCAAAAACTGGGGAGTTTCTAATGAAACTGCTTATAGCAACTTTTCTCCCTCAATTATGTAATGAAATGAGCAATATATGGTAAACACACACACACACACACACACACACACACCTTCTCAACATCAGCAAACTATATTGATGGTAAAAAAACAAAACAAAACAAAACAAAACAAAAAAAACCTAAAGAGTCTACCTACAACAGTCAGAAAGGACCAATTTAGCTCAGAAACTACCCCCACCTTCACTGCCCAGTAATGCTTCTGTGAACATTTTTGTGCAGTCTGTGTGGATACATCATCTCATTTTTCTTGCCCAATGTGAAGGAGGAGATGAACACCTGATTGGCAAAGAGTGCAGAAGGTAGTCCTCAGTTCTCCTGGTAACAATAAATAGTAATAAATTTGGAGACAGCAATGTCTCCTTTGTTGTTCTCTGCTTAGAGATGGCCCACTCTCTTGAGAGTGCATATAAATAATAGCAACAATAATTTTTATCAGCTGAAGGATGTCCTTATTGGATAACTATGTAATCACAGTATACAATTCACCTGGCTTGTGAATTTTAAAAATATGCAATTTTTGAAAGATCTCTTTCTTTGGGGTGGAGTAGGAGTTGCATTACTTCTGTTTTCTACACATAGTGAGACTTTACTAATATTTTAAGTAATAACTAGTGACACTACTTCAAATGTGTGTCATTTTAATTCAAACATAAAGTAACAGTATATTCTGCCTTCATTATGAAATTAGAATAAAAAATATTAATTGGGGAAATAAACATGGAAAAACCAACTTTACATGTTTAGAAGAGTCTGAAAGCACTGAATACATTCACAAATGATTGGTACAAGTGAATTGGTATTAACATCTATACATTTGCAGGACTCACGAATTTTTCTGAGTGGAGCAGTCTCAAATCATATAGGGATAAATTGCAGGAGGAGTCTATAATATAGTTTGGGGAGGGCAACATAATGGGCAATTACATGATTTTGGAGAAAAATAATCCAAATGCTTCATAAATAATATGTTAAATTTCCAGGTATCTGTTATGAGAATTTGTTGAATGAAATGAAAAAGACTTTTACAGTATATTCATGTTTGCAATTCTGTGCCTCCATTAAAAAATAAGGGAGATATACATTTCTGCATGTTTTGTCATGACACAACTCCCAGGATTTATGTTTCAAGAAAAAAGTAAGGTACACAACAGTATGTACACTATGTTACCATCTCTGAGTATGTGCACCCACACATCTATAGTAGAAGGATTTCTCTGGAGGATTGTCAAATCCTCAGGTTGTGGCTCAGTGGCAAAGTGTTGCCTCACACATGTGAGGCACTGGGTTCTATTCTCAGCACCACATAAAAATAAATAAACAAAATTTAAAAAAAATATGGCAGCAATGCTGTCTCTGGGGAAAACTGATTAACTGGGTAATGGGAACGGAAGGGAGACCCATTTTAATGGAACGTGATTCTGTTTTACTTGACTTTGTCTCTTGAAAAACAAGGAACTTTGCATTCCTTTCCTTCTGTAAATGTAAGACCAAAGTCAATGAAACAATTGTTTGGAGTTGTTTGGAGTTGTTAAACAAATTGTTTGGAGTTGTTAAACAAATCATGATTTTATTGACTTATTTTAATGGAGTTGCTGGCAGGATAGAATATAAGCCTGGACATGCTATCTTCTTTTCACCAGAAATGGCAAAACTGCTTGATCCTGGGATGAATATGGAGGAAAGCAGAGAATACATAGGAAGAAAGCAAGACATTCTGAAGATACCATTTGAACATGTGGATCCAGCAATGCCTGACTGACTGGACTCATTCCTGGACTTTATAATCCTTTAAGCTAATAAATGTCCTTTTGCGATAAACCAGTTGGAAATGGGTTTCTGTCACTTACAAATGTAAATACACATGGGGTACTGCCCTGACATTGCATTTCCATGGGATTTTTACGTAAGTGTGCAATATTGCTTAGCCCTTTCTGATTTTCCCATATCTTTTCTTTTAAAAATACTTTATTTTGAAAAATGTCAAACTTAAAATCGTGCTGCAACTTATAAGTATGGAACAATGAAATTTCATATATCCTTCATCTAGAATCATCAGTTAATATTTTAAAAATAGTTGCCTCAAATGTTTTGTTGTTGTTATTATATTTTGTTGTTATTATATTTGTTGAATCATTTGAGAATTCGTTATAGACATTATGAATTCTTACCCCTAAATGTAAACATGTAACTCCTAAAAGTAAGAACATTCTCTTATCAATACAGTATCAAACTCATGAAAATTAACTTTGATACAATATTACCATCTACTATACAACTCATGTTCCAATTTTTCCAATTGTCCTTTTTAAAAGTTGAATGCTTGCCTAGCACGTGCAAGGCCCTGGGTTCGATCTTCAGCATCACATAAAAATAAATAAATAAAATAAAGGTATTGTGTCCAATTACAACTAAAAAATAAATACTAAAAAAGTTTTAAAAAAAATACAGTTGGAGAAAATACATGAAATTTATCATGTGTGAATTTCATCTCAATAAAACATTGTAAAAGTCAATAATCATTAGGAGTAAGGCTGTGGTGAGCATTGTCCTGCCATGCGGATCATTTCTGAAATTCTGTGTTCCTGTGATGCAGTGATGCTCATCCACTGTTCTGTGGCCTGCTCATCTTCCCAGCAGAATGCTCTGGCTTCTTGTGGCAATGGTTTCCAAGCTCCTCTCAGTCATTTTAATGGTCATTTAGAATTCCATTAAATATCCCAGAATATGCTTAACTGTTTCCAACTAGTAGGTGGTTTGTACTCTTCACACCATAATAAAGAGTGCTATGATGATTATCCTTTATGAACTCATTTCTTTATGCAAATAATCATCCTTTGGTGTAGGTACATGGAAGTGGGATTTCTGGGTTTAGAAGTGTTTACATTTTGGCAGTTCCATGGTGTAATGGTGAGCACTCTGCACTCTGAATCAAGAAGTGTTTACATTTTGTTTCAGACGAACCACCTGGCAGAAAGGTTATTTCAGTGTTTGCTCCTGGCGTTAGTTCAGCATATATGTTTTTCCCATGACGTCTTTGTGCAAATTTCTTTTGATTAGCTACCTTACCTAGTACATGTGAAAAAAATTATTCAATTCACATGCAACCTCTCAGGAATGTATCAAATATGTCTGTACTACTTTTTCTAAACAGGTAATAGTATGAGTCTATAACTCAGAATCTTGTAAACCTTTTAGTATATTTAAAAATATTTTCCTATATGTGTAGCTTTATGCAGTTATCATATCATAAATCCAGCTTTGTATATTTCATTTTTTACTTAACATACTGTAAACATTTTTCTACTTTAATCTTCATTCTAATATTTAAAAAGAAGACAGCTAAAGGGGGAAGACATATATTATTTCAATGAGCTATATAAAATTTTTTGGGGAAAATCTATTTGTGAGGCAGTGTGGTTTAGTGGAAAGAATTATGGCTTTGGAGAAAACAGAATTGTGTTCAGAATACTGGCTTCCCCTGCAAGGTGTGACATTCATTTAAGTCACTTATTTATTATTTATACAGTGAGGGTTACACTTGGTGTCTTACCAAAATACTAATGAAAGTGTGTCATCCCTGGAGAAAAGAAGACAGTAAAACACCATGTCCCTGAAATACCACTCTGTGTCCCCCAAAATCTGGATAAGTCAAGGGAACAAGAGAGTGAGTCTGGGGTAGAATGTCTAGATAAATATGATCTTGAAGGACACTGATTTTCTCTCATGTATGCAGGAAATTAGGGCAAGTTAATGTTATCTGCTAGGGAGCTATTTTCTTGCATGTGCCCCAAGTTCTTTGGAATGTTGGGCATACAATGGGACAAAGCAAGTTAAGCTAGTGATGTCACTGATTCTGTAGCCTGATTTATGAAACCCCTCTTTCTGTGGTAACTGCTCTAGAATGGAGGGAACTATAGAGAGGGTAAGTGGCACCCATTCAATCTACTGCCACTGGGGACAGAGATGCTATTTATCTGGTGAAGCACCATGAGAGATGAGGTGACATTTTCTAGCATGTTCCCACTCGACTTTGTGGAGTAATGTCATGAGGGATGGAAGTATTACTTGGTGGAGCACAGTGAGGGACAGAAATCCTACCTGTTCAGCCTGTCATCACTGGACCTTTTGTAAACATTTTTCAATAAACCTGTGTCTTGCACACTGTCTCTGAGTACTTCCTTTGGTCTCTGGGCAACCTATCCCACTGCCCTAGCACAATTGGATTGTGAACAATATAAAGGAGATTTAAAAATGACACAAATACATGTGAAGACATAATCTGTTCATTGACTAGAAGACCCACTATTGTGAATTCTTCCAAGTGGACCTAAAGATTTAAGGTGGTCCCATTGAAAATTCCAGAAGGCTTCTTTGCAGATACTACTGATTCTAAAATTTGTACATAAAGGAACGAGAAAGCCAAAATAATTTTGAAAATGAACCAAGTTTGAGGACTTTCACTAGCTGATTTTAAGACATAGTATAAAGTAAGGTTGTCAAGTCAGTGTGATGTTGGCAAAAGGATAGATCTATAGACATATGAAATATATACATAATATAAAATCTAGAAACAGACCTTTGCAAGTAGGGTCAGCTGATTTGCAACAAAGGGGCAATGACAATAAACAAAGGACAGTCTTCTAAACAGTAGGGGCTGGAAATATCCATACGCAAAATTTTGAACCTCAACCCACATCTCATCTTTCATATTAGATCCAAAAAAATGAACTCATTTGGATGATAGACCTAAGTGTAAAACAACATAAAATTATAAAACTCTTGGAAGAAAACCTAAGAGAATATCTTTAGATAGTGAAGCAGATTTCTTAGATCTGATACCAGAAGCATGATCCATAAAGACAAAATTTATATATTGCGCCTACTCAGAATTAAAACCTTTTTGTTACACAAAGAGCACTGCAAAGAGAATAGAAAGCTAGTCTCATTTTGGGAGAAAATATTTATAAACCACACATAAAATAAAGCACTTGTATTTAAAGCATATAAGGAAAACTTAAAAATCAACAAAACTTAACCTTAAAACTGAGCAAAAGATGTGAACAGACTTTTCACCATAGAAAATATAAAGATGGCAGATAAGCATGAAAAGATGCTCCACATCATTAGTAATTAGGAAAACACAAATTAAAACCATAATGAAGTATCATTACATACTCATTAGAACGGCTAAATTAAAAAAATACTGACAATACCAAGTGCTGATTAGCATGGAGAATAACTGAAACTCTCGTACTTTTCTAGTAGGAATTCAAATTATACAGCCACTTTGGAAATCAGCTTGGCAGCTTCTTAAACATACATTTATCAAATGATCCAGCAATCTCATTTCTAGGAATTTATCCTGGGGAAATGAAAACTTCTATTCTCCCATTGATGGATATGTGTACAGCAGTGTATAATCATCAAAAACTAGAAATCATCCAACTATCTGTTAACAAGTGAATGGGTAGATAAACTGCGGTACATCCACACAGTGGAACACTACTAGGCAATAAAAAGCAATAAATTTTTGAGGCACACAGCAACATGAATGAATTCAGATGCATTATGTTAAGTGAAAGAACCCTGTATCAAACACAATACTGTTTCATTAAATCACTTTCTACAAAAGGAAAAAATATAGAAATAGAGACCAGATTGGTGGTTGCCAAGAGTTGAACTAGGGTTTGAATAGAAATGATCAACCACAAGGAAATTCTTTTCCTGGTTAGATTTTTTTCTATATTCTTTCTGTGGTTATGTTATAATGATATCATAGAGCTATGCATGAAGAAGAGAAGATTTTACTATTTTGCAACTAAAAATTAAAAATAATTCCCGCTTGGTGGGTTATCACTGGCATTCAATAATGTTTACTCCATCTGATTCATAAGTGGCACTCAAAAAACAGTAACTGCTGTTACTATTTTTCCAGGGAGTATAGAACAGAGGTTCCAAACACATTCAGATCCTGCTCTGCCACCTTCTGGATTGACTTTTCTGTGCCTCAGTGTTCTCTGTAAAATGCATAAGTACACCTATCCTATTTTGTTATTAAGCAGATTAAGTGAGTTAATATAGGTAAGAACTTAATAAATGTTGGCTCTTATTTATAACATCATTTATTGGTTTCTGTATACTGTAAGTCATATGTTGCCAACTGCTGAGAGTCACAGCCGAGTCGGAATGGCCCCTGGCATTTTGCCAATAGTATTGTTTGAGAGGCAAGCCATTAAGATGATGCTGGATTGATTCGGTTGTATATTACACCTTTACTGTCCGCCTCAGCCTGCTACTTTGGAGTTCTCGTGGGGATTCCCGGAGAGTTCCCATTGGTTGGGGAAGTGCGGGAGAAGGGATTTCCGGAGGAGGGATTTCCCGTTGTTGGTTCCTGGAGGAACCAAGTGGCGTTTGGGAGAGTTCCCCGGGGAGCGTGTGTGGAGTGTGCTGGTGGAGTTCAGAAATAAAGTTTGTTCCTGCTTCAGTGGCTTGTGATTTGTGCTCAGCCAGACTGCGGCAGCCAACAAGAGGGATATGTTCTGAGATATCTTCCAACAAATGTGTCGTTAGGTGATTTTGTTGTGCAAACATCACAGAGTGTACTTTGGAAAGTGTAGATTGGAATAGCCTACTACACTTCTAGGTTATGGGGTACAGCCACTGAATATACGATTGTATATTGTCATTGACAATACATGACTGTATTGATTTCTATGGAGACAAGTTAGGGGGGTTGTGGTGTGTGTCCCTGACTTCAGAATGAGTAGACACCTTGGAAGGCTTTTGTAGGAATCTGCCTCTGCTTTTATTTTTGCTAGTATTGGGGATTGAGCCCAGGGGGCTACACCTCTAAGCTACATCCTCAGCCCTATCTAGAATTTTTTTTTTTGACAGGTTCTTGCTAAATTGTGTTCTTGCTAATTGCAATCCTCCTGCCTTAGACTCCTGACTAGCTGGGATCACAGGAGTGTAACGCTGCACCCAGCAGCTAATTCTTTTTAAAAAAGGATCTCAGCTCCTCAGGAAAGCATTTATTCATTCTTTTTTTTTTTTCAAAAGAAATGACTCATGTAGGGATTTTTCTATATGAACAATATAATTTTAGTGTATTTTGTCATAAAAAAGAAAACCAAAATATACATAAGAGAAATTGGAATAAAAGTTTGGAAAGGCAAGAAAGCAAAAATAAAATAAAAATCATCCACAATCATAGCTCTGAGTTAACCATTGCATTTGGTGTATGTCTTTTCAGGACTTATCCCTATGTTCATATTTGCACATAGAAATACATATTACTTTGTTTTATCTTTATGAAAATATTTTGAGGGATACGCAAAGCAAGTCTGACAAGATAAATTGTATGAAATGCTCAACACAATGTTACAATCAATGCTAGAGGCAAATTGTAAGTTAAAAACCCAGTAAGTGCTAATAGATCATTTTCATCTATTGGGCATGACTAAGGCCTGGCACTGTAATAGACACTTTGTATAAGCTGCTACTCAGGTTTTGCAACAGTCCTCTCTCAGACTAGGTTACCACCATATTATAACTTTTGGGAATACAATCCTACATGGCTTCTATTGCACTGGTTTACTCTGTCTCTGCAACTATTGCCATTCCTACTTTGACAGATGAGCAAATCTTAGCTACCTTATCTGTAACCTGGATGAGGGACAGATGGAGCCAGGTCTTCAATCTCAAAGTACTGACTTTGCTCCTGCCCCAAGAGCAGTACCCTCCTGAAGATGCTGCCTACCATCTTGCAATTACTTTTTGTTGGCAGAATATTGCT